CCGTGCTCGACTTCGACCAGCTCGCACAAGGGGTTGGGAGAAGGAGGAATGGCAGCAAGTAAAGACTCTAATTATTGCGAACAGCCATAACACTAATAACTCAAGAAAGCAAAAAAACACGATGAATAAAAGAGAGAAATGATTAATGATGATATTCATAGTACCATTACAAGCCGAGTCGTCCAAGGCCTTTACAAGCCTGAAAATAGGCCTTAGACGACAAACCAAAGACGACGACAAAACAAGCAAAACAAGAACATCATAACAGGCACAATCCCAAGAGAAAATAAATCTAAGACTCAGCGTCCGACTTGTCAGCAGCGTCGCCACCATCGTCAACAAGGGTAGCGGTTTTCTCGGCATCGGCCTCCTCCCCTTTCTCTGCAGCATACTCGTCGACAAGCGGCTCCGTGCCCTGCTCAGTTTCCTTCGCATTCCCCACGTGATCAGCCCCACTCGGTTGGACCAGGCTGATCGGGCCAGTCAAGGGGGTAGGAGGAACCTCGAGTTGAGAACTCAACCCGGCCTCAAAAATAGCACGAGCCTCGAGACCCGACCACCACGGATCACCGAGAAGGGAGTCATCATCTGCATATCCCACGGGGTCTGGAAGAGTCTCCTTCAAAGCGGCCTTGTCGACCTTTCCAGCCAGCTCGGTGTTCGCCACCGCGGACTCCCAGGCCGAGAAGGCGAAGTCAAAGTACTCGACAGCGGTAGGAACCAACTCGTCGAGGAAGTCAGTGGATCTGCAGAAGGCCTTAACGACCTCTTTGCGATAGGTTTCCATGAAAATGGAGCCCATCGGGGACTTCAAGAACGATCTCCTCCCTTCCTCGACGCCGGCCTCCTTCTCAGCCAGGGCTTCTTCGCGAGCCCTCTCAAGGTCTACTTTGAGCTTCTCATTGGCATGACGAGCTACGGCCTTGTCGGCCTTCAGTTTGTCGATAAGAGCCCGGGCGGCCTCGAGATCCTCTTTTAGTCCCTCGATTTCTTTGTGCTGAGCCGCACATTTGTCCTCGAGGGACTTAGTAGAAACAGGAGGGGCCTTGGTCCACTCCTCGAGGCAGGGAAGCGCTGCAGCCATAAACTGTAGAGAACACGATGCGAAGGTGGGTAAGATAAACTGAAAACATACGAAGTCTAAGGACTAGCAAAGGGAA